TAAAACTGAATTCACGTCCTAAATTTATCAAGGTGTGTGTCATTTAGGGACTCACTGGTCACTGCGTTTCCCGGAATGATTGATTGGGTCGCAATTACCGTGACTATCGCCGAGGTAACAAGTCTCTCACCCCTTGGATATTATCACTGTTTTTTCATCGCCGGAGGGATTCACGTCCGAAATGTTGGTCCCCAGGCGGCTCTAAGTATCCAAATTTTCCGCCTAAACATGTTTTCAACGAAAGAATTAAGTAGGTAGGTATAAAAATTACATCAGATTTCACTAACATAAGTGTATAATACCTTATGGGCCCGAAAACTAGCAAAAACAGGAAATAAAATGTTGCATTATTGTCTCCATGTTTATTTATCCTTAACTATTCCCTCACCAGAGTGAATTACATCACGAATTTTTGTTCCCCGGGAGTCTGTAATAAAACTGAATTCATGTCCTAAATTCACAGAGGTGTGTGTCATTTAGGGCCTCGCTGGTCACTGCGTTTCCAGGAATGATCGATTGGGTCGCAATTACCGTGGCTATCGCCGAGGTAACAAGTCTCTCACCCCTTACTCAAACAACTAATCAATTTATAAAATTATTATATTACTAATTTATTAGTTGTCTTGGGTTATAGTCACTGTTTTTCGTCGCCGGAGGGATTCACGTCCCAAATTTTGGTTCCCCGGCACCTCTAATGAACAACCTATCTAACAGCTTGGTTGAATTGATGATAACCAAACAATCATGGTAGATTGGCATCTACGTTCTCTCGCTCGGATAAGAGTCGATTTTCATAGACGCAAGTCGTTTAGATCGATTTTTTTTTATTTTCATAATAATGTAATTTATATAAATAAAAACCGTAAATTCGTAGACATGGACAAGGTGTAAAATGTAATCAGCTATTTTATTCGTCCGTAATTTTTAATTAGCTTTATCTGTAAAGTGTAAAAACCTATTTTTAACTGTAAATGGAACTTCATTTTATTTTCAGCTACCCCTTGATCCCTCAATATGGAACTCTGAATAACAAGTAGGCCCGGAAGATAGCGTCATCGTGTAAGATTAATTGCCTCCGATGTCGGGACATAACTATCATATTTATAGGCGCGTCGTTGACTTAACCAACTTCCATAGTCGACCATTATATCAGCCGGTTGTTCCAATCACTAATTCCCTAACATACGAATGAACCTGATCATGACAAGTTACGAGCAGGTGTGGATCATCCAGGGGTCACCATTGGAAGTCGCTTTAGCGGCGAAAAGCGGCCTCACCGAAATCAGTCAGAAAAAATACTTCGGACCCTATGGTCTACATGTACATAACAATGTTACTGTAAAATAAATATCAGTTATTACAATATTTTTAATCATCTCATTTGTTTTTCAAATCCTGTAGCCACCATGGACAAGTTAATAATATTGCTAAACTGTCAGTTGCGAACTTTAAATCTAATTTATTAGGATTTTCACATGAAGTTTGATAAACAATGATCAGTTTCTTTGTCAAAGTTATATACTTGATTATCTATATTTATCTATAATTAATATCTCGTGTGGAATTTTGTGAGTGTACAAGTATAGTAAAATATGAACACGTTATAAATTTTATAGCTTACAATAATATTTGTAGACTATTGTCTAGTAATATGAGGGGTGCACTAGAAACTAGCTAGGATATATTACATCCCAGTTAACGTATATCAATTTTATAGCTTACAATAATATTTGTAGCGTATTGTCGAGTAATATGAGGGGTGCACTAGAAACTAGCTAGGATATATTACATTCCAGTTAACGTACACCAATTTTATAGCTTACAATAATATTTGTAGACTAATGTCGAGTAATATGGGGGGTGTACTAGAAACTAGCTTGGATATATTACATCCCAGTTAACTTATATAAATTTTAAAGCTTATAATAATATTTGTAGTCTATTGTCAAGTAATATGAGGGGTGCACTAGAAACTAGCT